AATCCCGTTGCCGGTCCCCGGTCCGGTACGGGGGCAACACTGAGGGTTGCAATCCGTTGCCGGGTCACGAAAAAAGACAAAAAGACAAAATAATAATAATAATAATAATAATTAAAATAGCTACATGTGGCCAGTGGCTACCATATTGGACAGAGACAAAAAAATAATAATAATAATAATAATTAAAATAGCTACATGTGGCCAGTGGCTACCATATTGGACAGTGTGGTTGTAGAGGGTGAGGGGGCCACATTGCTCTCTGTCCCTTTAGTTCCCTGCGCCTGAGGGACTCAACTCTCCTCCCTTCCAGAGTCCAGAGAGGAAGAGAGAGAGAAAGCAATGGACAGATGGACAGAGGCTCCTCGGCTGTCCCTGTGTCTTCATCTTAGGGTGGAGGGTAATTTGTTTTTTTGCCCTTCTGGCTCCATCCAGTTTGTCACCAAGGCAACTGGATTAATATCATGAAGTTGGCGACGACAGATTCTCTAAATACAAACCCACGAGCTCCTCACAATAGGCTCCCCACGCCCCCAGCAGGGAACACCTCCTGTGTCACCCCAAGTCCCCACCCCAGAGCTGACCTGCCAGGAAGCAGGGGATGCGCACGGAGCGGTTGGTGAGGAGACAGGGGTCGTCGTGCAGGTTGTCGAAGGGCAGCAGGGCCCGGCCCTTGTCTCGGAAGCGGGTGTTGACAGCCAGCAGCCCCAGCTGGTTGGTCCTGTTGCGCAGCCTCATGGCCAAGGGGTCCTCGCTGCCGTACACCATGCTGGCGTCCACGAAGGCTGTGAGCGCGTTGATCTGGTTGCGGATGGTGGTGTTGCTCCCGGTGCAGGCCGGGCAGGAGCGGAAGAAGGGGATGCAGTCGCGTCGGTTCTTGATGCGGGGGTCGTTGGGTGGGATCTGCGGCACAGAGAGCGGCTAGACCGGCCCGCCTAGGGCAGGGCTCGGGCCCCCTCACCCGCGGCGAGGCCTCTTAAGGCTCCAGCGGGATCGCTGCCCGGGGTTGCACAGCAGAGACCACTGAGACTCAGGGTCAAGGACCAGACCACGGAACTGGGAACGCGAGGAGCCCCCGGGGTGGGCACGGCCGGTCCTCTGACGCCTCCTGCTAAGCCTTCTCGCTCTCGCTCCGCCTCTCACCCTGGCCTGTCCTTCTCCTGTCCCTCCTCGGCCTCTCTCAGAATCCCTCCCTCCAGCCTCCCTGCTCCGCACGTGCCTCCACCAGCCAGCGCGCCCGGGCCCTGCTGCCACCGCACAGCCCAGACCCCGCCTGCCCAGGCCCTCTCCGTGGGGAGGGGACAGGTCTGAGCACGGGGAGCCTGCACCCGGGGGGTTGAGGGACATTGGGAAGGTCCTCGCCCCAGAACTCTCTCCCAGCCTAATAAAGAGCCTGTGATTCCACCCACAGGAGTCCCGTCAGCCGGGGGATCATATTGCTCTGTCCCTTGGCCTGGCAGTAAACGACAGGATGCCCAGGCTGGCCGCTGCCGAGAGGCTGCTCTGGGCAGGGAGAAGGTCAGAGCCGGGGACGGGCATTGACTCTGAACACCAGGGAGGCAGGGCCAGCCTGACTCGGGGGCTGGGGGAGGACAGCCGGGCCGGGAGGGAGGTGGCCTCTCCCGGGAAGACGGGAGCACCTTGAGCGGGAAGCAGGGCGGCTGCTGCAGGCAGCTGGTCTCGCAGTTTAGGCCGGTGAGGAAGGAGACCCTGGCGGCGGGCTCGGGGGTGAAGTCGAGGTCGTGGTCGATCAGCTGTCCCCACTGCATGAACAGGAGCGAGCGCTGCCGGTCCGGGGTCAGCTGCTTCGTGGGGAAGCGCACGATCTCGTTGGAGACCGCGCGAGCCTGCGGGACACGGGACGTGGGACACGGGCAGTCAGGGGGCGACTCGGTCCCCGCGCGCGTTGGGCCCGCCCTGCGCCCTGCGCCCGCCGCGCTCACCAGGGGCACCGGGAAGCCGCCGCGCTTGACGCCGGGCGTCCAGCCGTAGGGCAGCGAGAAGCCGTCCTCGTACTCGGCTGGCAGCCATCGAGCAAAGGCGCGGTTGGAGGCCCCCAGCGTGGGGCTGCGTCTGCGGGGGAGGACACGGCGCTGACACCAGGTGGCGCTGCGGGCCGGACCTGGGACCCGGGATGCCTCCCTGAGCCCCCCGCCTGGGGGCCGCACCCAGCCTGCCACACCTGTTGTTGCAGTGCCCGGTGATGGTGCGATACTTGTCCTTCTCCGGGCACGTCACCCCCACGTCCTGGTAGGCGCAGCCACTTGACTTGGACAGCAGATCCAGCTGGGCGAGCGTCAGCACATCTGCCAGGGGGGAAAGGAGGTGCGGGCGCTGAGCTCCCCATTTCCTTTCCTAGGCAATCTGAGGCTGAGGAGCCCTGGAGACCCTAGGGAGGGGCCCGGTCTGAGGAATAGAGGGGATGCTAAGATGCCCCTGAGACTCCTTGGAGGGATGAGTTGGGGGATCACTGGGAGATGGCTGGGGTCACTAGGAGGCGTCACTAGTGGAGCAGGGGCCTGGGCTGGAGGGGCAACAGTACCAGTGACATTGAAGGGCCCCGGCCGCAGGGGCCGCAACTTCTGCTGCAGCAGGTCTAGGGCCACATGCAGATAGTCAGCGGCCCTCACAGCTGTCCTGGTGGCTGCCACCGGCTGCTTGAAGTAGGACAGGAGTTCCATGGGGCTGGCCGAGCCACTGCGAAGCCGCTGCTTGATGCTGCTTGGAGAAGGGAGAGATGAGGGCCAGAGAAGGGGTGCAGAGACACTCGGCAGAGCCCCAGCCCGGGGGATTGAAACACAGGACAATGCAGATTTCTTTTTATAAAAAGGATATGGATTTTGGTGTCCAGAAAGAGGCAAGGCCATGTGAGGGATGGCTTTGAAGATGTTCTCACACCCAGAGACAAAAGAACAGACAGATGAGGGCTCAGTTCCCTGCCCTGGGTCCCCCTTCCCTACCTACAAACTCCCTGCTGCCTGCTCCTTCTCAAAAAGGCCTGGGGCAGCCTTGCCCAGAGCTGGGCACTGCCCGGCATCCCCACCTTTCCCGCCGCTCCTTGTAGGCCTTGTCCACGAGCCGCTTAGCTTCCTCCATGCAGGTCAGCACCACCGAGGTCTCCACCTCCCCCACGACAGCTGCTCAGAGCAGGGTTCACAAAGTCGGGAATGGGCCCAAAGTCCCCCATCAGGCCCCAGAGCCAGGGAGGCACGCACTGAGAAAAGGAGTCCCTGGGACTTGGAACCCTCCCCAAACAGCACCTCTTCCCTTCTCTCTGAACTGTTACCTGGAGCGGCACCCTCAGAGGGCTGGGACACGGCCAGAATGGCCAGGAGCCCTGTTAGGGCCAGGAGCAGCATCCTCTCTGCAATGAGACCCACAGCCCAGCAAGTGCCCTGAGCCCACAGTGCATGTGGGAGAAGAGAGCCCCACCATCCCTCTCCTCCTAGGCCCCTCACTCATACCCAGCCACCTGAATGGGCCCTGCCTGTGGATGAAGCCAGGCCTCCTTGAAGGAGGCGTCCATAGTCTCCCACCCCCTTGCCAGCTGCAGCCACCCAGCCCCCAAGAACCCTGCCCCCACAGCCCACCTGACACTGGCAACCCCTCTTAGCTGAATCTGGGCTTTTATGTCCTCTAAGCTGGGGGCGGGGCATGGCAGAGGGAGGCCTGTCCCAGAGACTATCTCTCCTCCCCCACTGGGGCTAGGGGTGCAAATAGAGGGGCCCCTGAAATGGGGCAGAGGTCAGAAAAGGAGGGACCAGATTGTCCCCAGCCTTTGAACTTAGCACTTCCACCCTAGGGTTTCTCAGCTCCCCATTGTGTGCCTAGACCAGTGCTATCCCCAGGGGTAGACAACTAACCCCTCCAAAATTCTGGTTAAACTGAGTATCCAAGGGGCTGGCCCGTGGCTCACTTGGGAGAGTGTGGTGTTGATAACACAAGGCCATGGGTTCAGATCCCTATATAGGGATGGCCAGTTAAATCACTTGGGAGAGCGTGGTGCTGACAACACCAAGTCAAGAGTTAAGATCCCCTTACCTGTCATCTTTAAAAAAAAAAAAAAGCAAAACTGAGTATCCAAAGTTCCCTTGAAAGGAGCTAAAATTAGAAACCAACAGCCTGAGGAATTATGGAAAGTAGAGTGGCTCCAGGGGAGAAGGGAGGGTGAAGGGGAGACCTGGAATGTTGAGGAGCCGACCAGCCTTAGGGGGCCATCCCCCACCCCAACAGCAACCTGGCCCCTGCGGCCAACCCTGGTGGGCAGCCCACAGTTCTTGGTGGGGCTAAGGGGACAGGAAATCTGGCTGGAGACCGTTTGGCTCCACAGGAAGGAGGACCCTGGGGGCTATGTGCTCAGGACCAAGGTAACTTCCTCTATCTCCCCCACCTCCCCTTTCTTCTTGGCTTATGGTAGGGGGCTGTCTCCAGCACTCCCTACCATCTGCTCCTGGATTTCAGGAACCAGGAGAGAACAGAGCTGGTTGCGGTTAGTGATCAGTTGGGTGACACAGCCCAGGGCCTCTCTAGGACAAGATCAGTGCATGGAAGGATTTAGGTTAATGACTCAGGATCACTCTGAAATAGAAAAGGGGGAAGTTGCTTCCTTGAGAAAGGCTGGTAAAGGGACTGCCATTCTCAGGCAGAAAAATACCTATGACTTATGACTGTGTTTGTCCACCTTCCTGGGCCCTGGGTCCACCTCCCTGGGCTGAGCATGTGCCAACCATGGCTCCCATGTCCTATTTTGGTCTAGCCACATCTTCTACCTTCCACCACCTTCCTGCCACTCACTCTTGTCTTCTATGCCCAGACCACATATTGGCCAAGGAACAAGGGACAGCAACACATCCAGAACAGCTTCCCAGTGTGCCCAGAGATCCTGTCACCTGCTGGGAAGCATAGCCCATGGGCCCACGAGAGAGGAGGTAATTGTTCCAGCCTTGCTCTGCCAGTGACTAGCTATGCGTGAACTTGGTCATGTAACTCTTTGTGATTCAGGTTCTAGAATTTTATAGGCTTTTGGAAATACTTTTTTAATCCTATAAGTAATATGTTTTCATTGATGAGAAGTTACAGAACACAAATAAGCAAAAATAAAAATAAATTGAAACTACTTCAATTTGAAATTATGAGTAATTTTTTTTTCAATTTGAGATTGTGAGTGATTTTAACAACGTGAGATTGTGGGTAATTATTTTTCTCCCAACGTTTGTAATTGTTTTTCCCATAAGTAAGCACTAAGAAGGAAAGTATATCCCCGTAATCCAACCACTCACAAATACCCCATTTAACAATTTGATATCCTATGTGTAGATATAATATGTATTTTTAAACAGTGATGAGAACAACTTTAAATATTGTTTTAGAACTTCCTGTCAAGATGGCAGAATAGACAGTCCCCAGCATCACTCTCTCCCAGAAATCAACCAATTTACAATTATTAAAAAGCAACGACTGCCAAGCTGGGACCACTAGAGCTCAGGTGAAGAGGAGGAGAGACCTACAGAGTTCATGAAGGTGGGAGAAGCCACAATGAGAGAAAGAAAGGACCACTCTGACCCTTTCGAGCCCCAACCACTTCAAGGCTGGCCCTGGTAAGCACACAGAACAAGAGCTGGCAAAAGCTGCAGCTGTGCCATTCATATGAAGTTGCTTGAAGACTGCAGGGGAGGAGCGGGCCTTGGTGGCCCCCAGGCCAGCTAGGCTACTAACAGGATTCCTGTGGACGCACATAGGAGCGAGGGGCCACAGACAACTGAAAAAAGGAGGCTGCCAGTGAGTCATCACAGGGGACTGGAGCATGGCTCGCCCCATGGGAAGTGCTTGGAGTGCAGGCAGTGGAGAAGACAGGCCACCAGGGGAATATTGGGGCACAGCATGGACAGCTGATCTACCTCTCAATCAGCACAGGACCACTCAGTGGAGACTGGTCAGGAATATAGAACTGCAGGGAGTGCAGTTTGCTGAAAAGGCTCAGGCTGAGACCAGAGTTTCCACACAACCCAGACGTACCAGACCTCACAAAACCCGGAAGTGATTACAAGGTCAACAATTAAAACTCGAGCTGCACAAAAAGCCTTCCCCAGGGAATCAGCAGCAAAGCAGCAATTTATCTCAACCACACAGCTCAAGTGCCGATTCCCACAGGAAGTTCCCCCATTATAGAAGCAAGCAAAGGACAACAAATTAGTTCCAGTGCAGAGCTGAAGTGGTGGGAACAGCAAATAATCCTACACAGAACTGAAAAAACTAAAATATCCACAGATGAGACAAAGTTCTGATATTAACCAGGGAAGGTCTAACACCACCAAAGAACACATATAAAACCTACGAGGACCAGAAGCCCCCCAGGCTCCCAAGCCAGGGTAGGGGTAGGGTGAGGGCCTCAGCCATACCACCCCAACATCTGCATCCAGCCCAACAACCACCACCAATCCACCACTGGAAGCGCCCAGGGCTCCCGGACAGAATGAGAGCGGTACACAGGCTTCAACCACACCCCCATCCTTCCTCCTCCTCCCATCCTATCTCCTCCTTTTTCCTGTCTCACCCTTCCCCCAACTGCTCCACAACAATATCTTAGAATGTAAAAAAGTAATAATACTAGTAAATAAATAATTTTTTTAAAGTTTACCCAAAAAAAGATTAAATAAATAAATAAATAAATAAATATTGTTTTACAACCTACTTTTAGTACTTAATGATTTTAGCCTGGAAACCTGTGTCACTAAATATAGATGTACTTTATTTTTAGATCTGTATAATATTTTGTGTGAATATTTTGTGTGATTTATTAATCAATCCTCTCTTGTTAGATTCTTGGGTTGTTTCTGATTTTCATTATTATAACAGTACTAGGATGAATATCCATGGAGTTAAATTTCTAGTCACATCTTCAATTGCTTCCTTAAGTCTTAGTAGTTGTGGGGAAAATAGGATAATTTAGTCAGGCGCCCTTGGCTCAGGTCTGGTTGGGATGGAACAGCATATTCTTAATTCTTTGTAAACAAGTTGTATGGGTGGAGTTAGTGTGCATGTGTGCCAATCTATCTTTTTAGTTTTGTTGCTATTGTGTGTTCTTCAGTTTGTGAAGCAGCGCTGGCTGGCAGAGAGCTTGTGTGTAAAAACAGAGCATATTTACTCTGCTGGCAGCTGCTCAGTTTTTCTTTGGATTTGGCCGGTAGCTGGTGAGTTTCTGAGTTTCTCCTTTGGACTTTTAAGTCTGAGGTGTGTGTGCTTAAATAAAGACTATTCCTACTTCAGCCAAGGCTCCAAGGACCGTTTTGTCCAGTTACCGAGCTCGTAGACCTGCATATGAAGGGTTCGTGAATGGGCTCTAGGGGTCTGTGAGCTCCAGACCCAGCCCTAGCTCTACAGTAGTAAAATTGCTGCATGTTTGGGTGTGCACGTTTTTAAGGCTTTTTAATATTTATTGTCATATGGCCTTGTGAAGATCGTGCCTCCTCCTCCCATCAGCAGTGCATGAGAGCACCCGTTCCCTGTCTCCCCCATCAACCTTAATGACTAGTGTCCTTTTACTCTGTTAAGGGAATCATCAAGACTCCAGAAAGAAGAGACATTTAATAATCTCCCCTTGTAGCAGAAATGAGAAAGAGGGAGCCCAGGGAAGGAAATGACTTTGTCAAGGATGACAGTGTGGCACGGTTCAGAATAATCTCCATGTCAGGTCTCCTGACTCCAAACCAGTGCTCTTAACCCAGTAGCCTCTGCACACTTATTCCCAACTCAATCATTTCCTCAGCAAGTATTTATTGAGCCATTTCCAGGTGCTGTGCTGGGCACTGGGCATCCTCAAGGAGCTCACAGGGAGTATCAGAAAGGTCAACAAATGGCACCCCAAGAACCTGTGCATGGTCCTTAGGGAGCATGAAAGAGCAGCACTTGGATCAACTGGGGGGACCAAGGAAGGCTTTCTTGAGAAGTTGACACTCGAGGCTGTCTTGAAGAATGTCTCAAAGTTGACCAGGTGGACACAGGGATGGAAGAGCATTCCAGGCCCCAGAATGGCACAGCAAAGGCCTTGGCAGAGTGGGCTTCACTCAGACAGTTCCAACATGAGGCCGGGGTGGGGCAGGATGAGGCTGGTGAGGCAGGCAGAGGCCCGCTGCCTAGTGAGAAGTTCTTGTCCTGAAACCCCAGGGAGCCACAAAGGTGTGAAGTGGGGGAGTGCACACTCAGAACTACATTTTAGAAACCTGGCTGCGGCAGCTGTGGGCAGGGGTGGGGGGCAGGCCCACCTGCTTGGAATTCACACAGGCAGCAACAAGGCAATGAATGTTTGAGAAGCTAAAACCTTTTCAAAGAATGACGTTAAAATGCACTTAGTTCTCTACCCACATGGAGGCGGGAGAATTCTCAAAATGTAGAATCCCCAAACCACCTGCCTTTGGCTCGGGGATGTGGCCCATAGTGTGTGTGGAGGAGCTGGAGATGCTCCGTGACTTTATGATATCTCCAACCAATTAATAATGACACAATGATAATGCTGCAAGGCCAGCAGCCTCCCCTGTCGGTACCTCTGTTGATCTCTCATCTAGGCCCTATTTGT